TGATCTCTGTGTCTTTCGAAGTTAGTTTTGACTCTACCAGGTGCAACGGTAAGTGTAGAAAGAGCATTTTTCAGCTTTGAGCTATATTAAGAATAAGTTTCAAAGTCCAATCGTGACTAATTTGCTAATGATTGCTTAGTTGGATACATTGAGAATATGAAAACGTGTCGTGATTGTTTATGAAATAATAATTGTATTAGTTCAATTCTAATATTTCTTTATTATCTAAAGATAAATTATTTCGATATTATTAATTTAATTTTATTTACTAAATAATTAAATATTTATTTATATTATGGAAAAAGGACACCAATACTTTCAAATTCTGACTCCACCACTGTATCAATTTAAAAAACATATTACGTAAGTCTTTCACGATATATGTTTGAACTGAAAATTCCTAAATTATTAACTAAAATGAAGATCTCATCGGTTTGTATTACACAACAATTGTGTGAGGTAACTTGGTAAGTAATTTTTAGCATAACTGTTTAATCAAATGTGATACTTTTTTAAGTAAACTATTAACTAAAATTTCTTTATATTACCTACTATTTTTAACATGTCATCAACTTGCACTATGTTAGATTAGATTTATCCGTAACTTGAATTTATTGTACGACCATACATTACGGAAGATTATATAACACCATTCTATAGCAGTTATTAAAATACATATGAAGGTTGAAGGGATAATTTTTTTTATGTATTAATCAAACAAACGTGTTAAACCGTTACGTAAGTCTTTCCTAATAAATAAGATACTACGTAAACATTATACGAAAAAGTTTTACTCAATTATTTTTTGAGTAATTTTATTTCAACTAAATCATTAAATAAGTGAATGAAATTTTACTACCAAATGAAATAATTAGTTTATTACCATCGCAAAGGCCCGACCAAATAGCTAGTAATTTATTACTTCCCTTAAATTGTTACTATGGTAATTGTTAGTTTCACCAAAGCGAAAAACTTTTCCCGTTGTTGCCTAAATGGCGAGATGCCTATTTTTCCTAGCTAGTTGCATACATCATCAAATCCATCTAATTAATTAATACGTTGACTATTTCCCAATCTTGATCGAGAGTGGGCATCCATCTAATTAATTAATTAAAACATTGATTCTTTGCCAACCAGGAGGGAGGATTGGCAACGAAAAGAGTGGCCTGATAACTCGTATTTTGTACATATTTCTACTTACTTTTGAATGCCTTCAGCTTTTATTGTTTTAGCAAGTTATCAGTGTTTTCTTCTTCTAATTTTATAGTTGGATATGATATTTAGGTGTGGTTCAGATCATAGAAGTTGACTTAAATGATATTCAGACCCAAAAAAAATATACACTAAGGAGCAGGATTCTAAAGGCTTGAAGAATGGTTTAGGAGTGAGTTTAGAGTGTTGATGACGAATCAGACATGGGCTACCACACATCCATATTTTCTGTCGTACTATGAATTAATCTATTTGTTGTTTGGACAAGATGAACCCTGCTCATGCATATATCCGATATTTGTTTTTCTTTGATTTATTTTTAACTTATCTTGTGAGTTACCAATTAAAATCGACCTCTGGATTGTTTGTTTGTTTTTATGTGTATAATATTCAAAATAACTCAATGCATGACAGAACACTTGAATATTAAAAATAGGACAAACCATACCATGAAACTCTTAATTGTTGTTAGCATTAGTATGTTGACTATTTGCTCACGGGGTGGCCTGGGAGGGTGGGCAGCAAGAGGATGTCCATCCATCTAATTAATCAATACGTACGTTAGGTATTTGGCCAGATTCTTTTATGAGATTTTTTACTTCAAAAACATTAGTAGGCAAGACCTTTTCTTAAATATATATATAGCTTCTAAAGAAGTTAGGCATAACTTTTTATAGCATAATAATAAATGCACAAACTCCAAATATTAGTTTGAAAATACAACTTTATCTTTTCATAATCTTTTTTTTTTCTTCCTTTTCATTTACTTATTATTTAATATAAAAAGAATAAAAAATTCTAATATTCTCTTGTGGTTCATAAAAAGTACCGTCTTTGAACACAACGCCAACTCACCTCCCTACTTGTAAATCTCCTAACAACCTACTCGCGTTCGTTCAACCAGAATGGTTCGTGATATCGTATCGTATTGGTTGTTGAATTATAAAATCGTCTACTATTAGCCAGTCGACACTAGGGCTGGGCATTGGTTTGACCGCACCGCACCAAACCGCATTTTCGGTCAATCCAAACCGCACCAATAAGGTTGCGGTCTGATCATTAAGCAGTTAATGGTTTCGCAGCCGGCCACTTCCAAACCGCACGGTAGCCGTTCGAAACCACAATCTGCTAAGCTTTTTCGAATCGTTCGTAGTGACAAGAGAAAGGGATATTACTTATCAGGATCTGCTACGGTTGCCATTCCGCTGGACGCACTTTCGATCCCGATCCTTCAAGAGATGGCCGAGCTTCCGCTTTCGAGCTTGCTAGATGGTCGCGCTTCCGCTACCGATTCGTCAGGAAATTCCCAGAAGAATCAATCATTCCCGCCATTCATCTCTATTCGCATTCTTTTTGGGAATTATAACTTATCAATCAGTCAAGTAGTTGTGTTTCCTTTTTGTATTAAGTTACCTTATTCTCCATTCCTGCTCTGCTCTGTTTTCTTATCATGGTTGCCTCTGTTTCCATTTCCATTTGCCAATTTACAGTTTCATTCCTTCCGCCAGGAGTCATCAGCAGAGGGGTGTTCTGTTTAGGTGGTATGAGAAAGAGAGTGTTGATGCTCTCGGCGGTAGTAGAAATTTAATTAAATAAATATTTAATTCATAATGAATTGCGGTCAAACATGCGATGCGGTCCAAACCGCTCCAAACCGTTAACATATGCGGTTTGGTTTGACCATCCCTATAACATTGCGGTGCGGTCCAATTGAAAGTGGTGCGGTGCGGTTTATATCAAAACGGTGCGGTGCAGTCCGAACCACACCATTGCCCATCCCTAGTCGACCCACAACGCAATCCACTGTCTATTCTAAATAATATATCGGCCAATTTTTCCAATTTTGGTTCATATTCCCGCGTATATGTACTATCAGTGATATCATATATATATTTTAATTAAATCATGATTATAACACTAAATATCATACCATTAGCTTCTCCAATATAATTTGGATACGATTTCACTAACCATAATCTAAAAAAAAAATGATAATTCATCAAACCGAGAAGGAATTTTTCTGAAAAAGCCCTACTTTGGAAGCTCCACACATGTTTGTACAATTTACTGCAGAAGCATGCAAACGGAGCCTAGATGTGCTTCGATCTTATATATATGTACATGTTTGATGCTAATTAAGTACATCCTCCAACCATTTTCCCTCATTCAAAGTTCCTCCAGAAAAAGAAAAAAAAAAAGTTAAGTAGCTAGGGAGAGAGATATGGGTAACAAGAAGATTTCTGCTGCTGCAGCATTAGCATCGTCATCAGGACTGCTCTTTATCCTCATCATCATCATCAGCGCTACTCTGGCGACTACAGCAGCAAGCCGTACTGATAACGACGATCGCCATCTCGCCGCCGATGAAGTGAAGTTCCGGTGCAACAACAATGAGTTGGACTACTACTATCACCCAGCCGCAGGAGCCTGCATACAACAATTCACGGAGGATCTGTCGTCCGGTGAGTATTTGGAGTTGGAGGGATGGAACGGCAAGCTGGTGGTATGCCCGCAGCCGACAATACCAGGAAATTTGAATGCCTATCTTCGAGTCATGTGCTCTAACGCCACAACAGATGCCCAAGCCCAGGAGTTTGTCAAGACTGCCGGCCGTACCATGGAACAAAAGTGTCCCAATAGGGTTGGAGCCTACGTTGCAGATAACCGCTGCGAGGCCAGGTACGAGTCGTACCGCTTCTCATGATCAACAATATCAATCAACATTATATTCACACACCAAGCAACCAAACCAAGCTAAGTGAGCAGCAGCAATAATATATAATAATAAATAAGTGTTTACTATATATATATATATATATGTTATAAATAAGTGTTTCTTCTCTTCACATGGAATAATACTGGCCGGGTTGGGTTGTATGTATCCCTGTCCTTAGTTTCTTGAAGCGAGATGAAATAAAATTCCTTGCTGCTGATCGTAATATAATTGGATTGTGCATGGCTTGCTCGATCGCAAAGTAATCCATTTCTTCCTTAAACGTCTTGTCTGAGTGGTTGATTGTCGGGGAATTTAATTAATGTGCATGAAATATTAATTGTGTGACTGGACGACATGCGGCTAAGATACCATCAAAAAGATTTTGTGATCATTCTAAACCAAGTGTCAGTGTTGTCTATATATATATATATATGATGTGTTCGGATCTTTCTCATGTATTTTGATCTTGGTATATTAAGGACTACACGCTTTAATGCTGTTTAGATATCCGTTCTCTCATGGATTTTGGTTCCTTGGGTGATGGTATAGCAAGATTTGCAATGGAGTAAATATTGATTCTTGAGCAAAGAGGGTTGAATTTCAAAAAGTTAAGGAGAAATTAGGAAGAATCCACGAAGTCTTGCGTTTTTCTTCCTTTAACCTTCACTTGGTCTGGGACAAGTCCTTTTTTTATACAAACTTTAACGCCGTTAGTGTCGTCGTCAGTTATGTTAGCAATACGCTGATTAGGACGCCAGATCAATGCACACATCATAAAAAAATCAACATCAAGTGACACGTAGATTACACATCATATTTACTTACAAATATTTGATTATAAGAAAAAAAAAATCAACTTCGTAACCCTTCCCCTTCCGCCCCAACTTCTCCCCTCCGCCCCACCTTCTCTCATCCGCCCACTCTCACCGCCACCGCAGACATCGAATCCGCCACTACCCACTGTCGACATCAATCCTGTCACAAACGTCAAAGTTGTAGCTATAGAAATATATTTGGGTGAAAGCGCCCCATCTAACTTTCCTTTTCAAAATTCGCTCTCCCCTCTCTCTAGGAGCAGGCTCCTTTTTCACGTCTCCCATGGCTGCCGCCGGCTCCTTTTGGTGACCGGCGGCAGCTCAGTCTCTCTTTTTTGTTTTTTCCTTTGCTTTTGTGTTTTCATGCCTTTGTCTTTAGCGTTCTTCACCCGGATCTTCTGGTTTGGGGTTTCTCTGCCGTTGTGGCGTTTCAGATTTCAAAGCGGCTGCTCTTCTTCTCGGATCTAGGATTTTCCTCTCTGGTCTTGCTTTGCTCTGCTTGGTTTTCGGATTTTGCAGCTGGGAGAGTCTCTTTTGAAGATCTGGTGCTTGAGTGGCTCCTCCTTGTTGGTGGTTTCTTCTATTCGGAAGAACTCATTCGCCGTTTTCCCCTGCCGTCGACTGTTGGTGAGCATCTCAGCCTCGTCTCTTCTCGGCTGTTGTGGGTTTCGGTGTCATTTCCGTTTGTCTTTGGCAGTTGTTCTGGGTTTCGGTTGAGACTAGGCTGGAGTTCTTTGTCTCTCCATTTCTCGGTCCATCTTGCCTTCGGCATCCTCGACCTTTTTTCAGCTCTGAGCATCCCGGTTTCAGCCCTGCCCACCGCCATGTAATTGCAATCTTGTGATTCACTGTGATGGATCGTCTTCGAACGTTTCCCCAGGAGGCGGCTTATGGCGTTGTGTTTTCAAGCGCCATGGTCTTGTCTGTTTTGGGAGAGTTGAAACCCTGCTTTGTTGCTGATCTGTTGGTTGTGGAAGCGTGAGGTTCTTGGGTTCACTTCCTTGGCTCTGGTGATGGCTCTCTGATATTGGTGTAGTTCAATCTTGCCTGCTCTTTCTTGTGGCTGGTTCTCTAGCCTTGCTTTTGTCTTTGATTGTTCTGCCTTTTTATTGGAGTGTCCTTTTTTGCTTTTGTTCCATTGATGTAATCCGCCTCTTGTAACCGTGGTTTCCAGATTGCAATATAAGCACATCCATTGTCAAAAAAAAAAAAGAAATATATTTGGGTAAATACAATTTAATAACCAAACCTTTTCACTTAAAACAAAATAATAGCCAAACCTTTTCAAAAACAATTTAATAACCAAATCGTTAACTTTCCGTCTAGTCAACTGTTAGTTGACTCTGACGTGGCATATACACGTACACGTCAGCTTATATATTGTACTTTTATCATTTATTGTAATTGTAAAAATAATTTAATTATAACTAAACGAAAAAGAAAAAGAAAAACAGAAATTCCAAAAAGCTTTCGTCCACCGCCTTGTCTTCTCCAATGCGACTCCACTGGGAACGGAACCACCGCCTTGGCCCTAGTTCTCTCTCCTCTACTCTCTTCATCTGGCTCGACGATCCGAAAAAAGAAGAAAACCAAGGGTTCCATCATAGGAAAGGAGAAGCAGGCTAAGGCGACAGTGGCGGAGAAGTCTCTGATGGCGGTGGCGACTCGGGATTCTTGCCAGGCCGATGTAGATGAACAGGAAGCAGTTGCGGCGGCGGGAGAAGAAGTGGTGGTTACCTAGATGCGAAATCGAGATGAATTCACCTACCACCATGCACAAGAAGCTTTGTTCCGAGAATGGAAGAGCTAGTGTTCCCCCCTTCTGCGTTTGTCATTTGCAATCGACATAAAAAACCAAAAAAGAAGAATTCGATACCCAAATTCAATTCCGTCACTCTGCTACCACTCTGTGTTTCTAATTAGGGTTTTGAATTTGAGGGAAACCATAGAAGAAGGTTGAACAACGTCATCCCCTCACAGGTGCAAACAAATCCCTAATATATACAATCGATAAGCGTATAAAGTCAAGTCCAAATAGGCCCAATTGAAATTGACGATGGGTGGTTGCCAGGGAGAGAGAGGGGAACGAACTGGTGGGAGGAGAATGAACAACAATTAGTTGCGGGATGGAGAAACATGAGGCCGGTATGATGAGAGGAGACGAAAGAAGAAGAAGTTGTGGCGCTATGGTGAAGAAGTGGGGGAGGCAGCAGGTGAAGGAGACGATGAGTTGGTTGGGGGATGAAGGATTCTTTTTTCTTTTCCATTTAAATATAATTCAATCATTTGTACAACTAATAATAAATAAAAATAATAAAATAAAATATAAGCTGACGTGTACAAATACTTGCCACGTTAGAGTCAACTAACAATTGACTGGACGGAAAGTTAACAGTTTGGCTATTAAATTGTTTTCGAAAAGATTTGACTATTATTTTGTTTAAAATGAAAGGTTTGGCTATTAAATTGTATTTACCCAATATATTTTTGACAAGTACAGATCTTCCATGTAGGGATGTCAATCCAACCCGTAACCATGGGTACCCTACCCGACCGTAACCGGTCAACGAGGGTAATTACCCGCTTTGACGGGTTAAGGGGCGGGTACGGGTAATACACGGTTTCAAAATAAAGGGTAGGGTACGGGTATGGTAATCGATAATACCCGCCCCGTTATACCCGCCCCGCTAACCAAAGGGTCAATTTCCCTTGAGAAATTTAGTTTAGTTTGAGAAATTGAGTTTAGTTACCATTATTGATGATGAAGATGTAGACGATTATTATGTTTGTGTGGATTGTAGAAGTAAGAACAATTATTATGTTTTTGTTGTTTCTATTTGTGTGGATTGTTGAAGCTAGAACAATTAAAAGTATTGAGAATTTTTAATGGACAACAATATGTATGTGCATATATTAAGTTCATAGTTTAGGATTCGTACCCATGGTTACCCGAATACCCGTGGTTACCCGGTGGGTAGGGTATGGTTATATAATTTTCATACCCGGTAGTTATTTGGTCGGATATTTTAAAAGACTCTACCCGGCGGGTTAGGAGTTGGTATAGGGTAAACCCGCACCCGACCCTACCCATTGCCATCCCTACTTCCATGTGGTATTAACAGAGAGTTGAGAAAAGTTGTCATATTTGACAAATTAACTGAGGCCTGGCTCGACAGGCCTCCTCTCTTCTTGTACCACAGTTGGTGCTGGACCGAACTTAGCCCAATGACGGAGCCCAACGGGTAATTGAGTAGAAATGCGGATAGATTACAAAAAAAAAAAAAAAAAAAGGAGAGATCGTTCGGAGACGCGCTGGGAATAGTGAGTGGGAGTTGAAGAAAGATAAGTCCATCTCCGGTCTCCCTGATCTGGTTATGACACGTCACCCAGTCTCTCGCCACAAACAGAAATCCAGGAACCCAGAAGCAGAGGAAAGCCTTCCTTCCAAACCAAAAACGCTCCCTCAGTGCTTTCGCCGACCGTCGCCCGCCGCCGCCTATGGTTGGGCCTTGACCGGAATCCCGCCCGTACGGACAAACCAATCATGGCAGTTTCCCTCAATTCAGTCATTTGGTTCAACTCCACGGTAAATTTTCTTCCATGAACTGCCTACTTCTGCTTTCTTGTTCACCCTATTTCCCCTGCTCAACTTTCCTTCCCAAACTAACCCATCAAAGTTCGCCATGGCAATTCCTCTAGTAAGCCGTCGAAATTGATCAATTCGTATCCCGTAAACATTTAGGAGAACTTTCAGTTTGCTTCGGAGTCCTTTTGCCGGTGTAATTTAATGCGATTTCAGTGCTTTTTGGTCCTTTCTGGTGTTCTTGATTGTAGCTGTTTAATGGGTTGTTCTTGTTGAAGCTGCAAGCCAAGCACCGACAGCATTACTCACAATCCCCTGCCGTGTCTTTGCCCGCAATGTCGCACTCACTCGCACCATTTCGCTCCACCTCGAAGACACAACGTTTGATTCCATCAGTTGCAGATAGCGATCGAGTTGCCACAGACACCAACCAACTCAATGATCCAGTCCCCAATAATGAGCAATTGAAAGCCTCCTCTGGAGAAGTTCAACCTCCAAAGCCAGCACCAGTACCACAACCAAGGCCCAAAAGATCATCACCACTAACAGCCAGGGAGAGATTGAAGGCTGCCCGGGTCCTCAGCCGGTACCCGGAATCGAAAACAACCAAGCCAGACATGGGGAAGAAAGTGCTTGATGCTTTGAGGGAGAGTGATAAGGGCAAGAAGAGGTCTAGACTCCCTGAAGCACCAACGAACATGTTGGATGATGCTAAAAGAGGGATGCCGAATCCAGGGTGGACGTTTGACTTCCCGGGGGGTAATGATCTGCTGGTAATTGCCTTCTCGTTTGTGTTCATCAGCACCGTCATGTTTGCTACCACTTTCGTCGTCTGGAAAGTTGGTGCCATTCACTTCAACGAGTTTTGAATTATTTAGTTGTAGTTTCAGGTGCTGTAGTAATTTACATGGTCTGGAAACTTTCAAGCTTCTTGTGTTCTTAGACAGAAACATACAGATGTGCAGTGTGCTCTATGTATATGTACAAAGAGTTGCTTGATGAAGATGGTTAATATATGGGACAACAATACTTGCCTTGCTTCCATGTGTAGTTCTTTCTTTCTTCTGTGCTTTTTGCTTCTATTGGATCTTCATTTGGCATTGAGAGCATGTTACAGAAAGTAGAGATTGGATCTTCATTTTTGTGGCAGCAGGGGAAAGGACAGTGGCTATGTACTAGCGTATGGTAGTTGGCTGACCTGGTAGCCATTGTTTGCCACATTTCTGGAAATTTAGTGGTTAGAATTGTGGCAAAATAAATGGTTCAATCTTTGATCATTCGGATGATAACTCAAATCTTTTCAGAAATGAGGAGTATGATAGACCTGACCATTCCAGTTACAGCCATGAAAAATAGGAGAAAATCATGTTCTCATAATTAGAATCAAACATTTTTCAAAAGATTATCCAAAAGGCTGGATGAAGTTCTTTAGTATTAGATTTGAATCCGAAATAATTTTTGTTACTATGATATGGATCGGGATTATGTTTTTCATTCAAATAGATGTCTTATTGGTGGTAGGTTGCGTCAAATTGTGATAGAATGCTGATTGGCACATATGCACGGTTTGATGTTGTCGTTCCATAACTCGTACATGTTGTTTTCAACCATTAAATCAATACATATGGGTTATGTACAAAAATACAATCTTATTAATCTAAGGAGTGAAGATGCGCAAATGAACGAATTCACGTGAGATGTACACCCACTACTATTAGCATGATATCCTGAATTGAGTTAATCATATCCGACATGGATATTCGTTAATGCGCAAATGAACGATCACACAAGATATACACCTACAACTATCAGCATAGTAGGCTAAATTGGGTTGATCCTATTCTATATGGGTATTCTCTGTAAAATTGGTATTCAACAATGGTTACTCATTTCCATGGTGGCACGTTTTCAGTATGAGTTCTCAAATTCCTTTGTCCAAAATCCAAATAGAATGGGAAAATCTCTGGTCTTCTTGGCACCACACAGAGAATCTACCAATAGATTTGAGGGAACGTGAACGAGGGTATTGATCAAACGTCGTATCAGGCCTTTAAACCCCCATCTTGTATGGTTCATCAGAGTCCCCACTGTCTTTGTGTGCTGGTAGGGTTCCCTCTCCTCTCTGGCCTCATCAGTGAAGCCATTTTTCTTCCTCTGTTGAACAGGACACTAAACCAGGACAGTCCTTTCTCTAAGTAAACCCATATCATATGGGATGTGGACAAACAAAGCCAACCAAATAATGAATGGCTGCTTTTGCTTTCAAAGATATATCCATCTTTCGGTTGCATTCTAAGATTAGATTTTGTTAGAGAGGAAGGAAGACGGAAAAACTGCAGCATGTCCTCGACTCTGCATACGATCTAGGAAAGTTGTTCTGCATATTGATTTCTTCGTAATTAAGGTTCTCATCGAAACGGTAGTGTCAAATCATTTTTCGATATTCCTTTTCTGATTGATAAATATATAGTTCGAGTGCTCGTATTAAGATAAAAACATCTATAGTAATAGAAGTGACCTTTTAGGTTTATTTATTTCAATATAAAGCCTATAGAGAATTCCACATTAGGTCCATGAGCTTCAGCTGCTGCTTGTGGGGTTCTAAGTGGATCACACTAAACCTTTATCTTTACCAAAGCATAGATAGATTTGCAATGATCATCATTAAGCTAAAGCACGCTCCATAGATTCTCTTTTCTCTCACACGTATTAGTGCCAATTCATATTTCGGATTTCCTCTTTGGATTCCTTATTATGGTGGATGCTGCTGTGCTTCTTCTCAAACTCAAACACACCTGATAAAATTTGTGTGCGGTGTTGAACCAACTGTGCCAGGCTGCTGATTTGGGGATCTCCACTCTTTGTTGATCTCGTTGGATTGTTCTCGATTCCACGAATCGACGCAATAACGTTATTTTCAACAACTAGAAACACACATACAGATGATTCAACAACGTTAGCATGTGTTAATCGCCCTCCACAGCAGTAGGCAGAATTCTCCTCACTGTACAGGTTTCCTAGAAGCACCAAGTAGTGTAGTACTTAATGCTAAAGATTACAGCAATCTAACAAATACTTGTAAGATCCCTAAATAGATTTGTGTGTCTCCTGAAATAAACAGCAAAAACACACACTGTCAATATGAGGAGAAAGAAATTTCATCTAGACTTTGAAATGACAGGCATAAATGGCCAGAAATATGATTTCAAATTTGACCCAATTGAAAAGATAACTCCTCCCAGCCATCACCATCAAACCTATGAAGATAACAACAACTCATAGTCACATATTATTGCTGCTGCTGTTAGTCCCATATAACACAGTTGTTTGTTGCGTATGGGAGTCAGTTGTTCTGATTCAACCAGGAAACTCTGCTCCTTTTCCCTTTAGTAGACTTGCGAGGCAGAGAGAGCGAGAGATAGAAAGGAAAGTTCATAATAATAACAGAGATGAAATTTCAGTACTCTAGCAGCTGGCAATCTGTTCCTGAACAGCCATTTTCAGCCCCTTTGCAGGAAGCAGACTTTCCCGCCTCTGCCTCTGCCGCATTTCAGGGAGATGAATGTTTCCCATTTGCATGGCCGGAAAACTACTGCGATGTCGGCAGCCAAGAATCCATCGAAGAAAAAGCTGCTTCCAGTTCAAGGAGCCATAAACAAGCTGAGAAGCGCCGAAGAGACAGAATCAACACACAACTTGGCGTTCTCAGGAAACTCATCCCTAATTCCGACAAAGTAAATTTCCTTCCATTTCCCCCTGAATTCGTTTCCCAAACCCAAATCCCTTAATGGGTTTTGATGTTCGTCCTCCAAAGAACCTATCTTTGATTTTCAATTTTGAATCAGATGGACAAGGCGGCGCTGCTGGGGAGCGCGATCGAACAGGTGAAAGAGCTGAAGAGGGAAGCGAAAGAAGCAGTGGAGAGAAACCTAACCATTCCATCCGAAGTGGACGAGATCTCCGTCGACGTTTGCCAGGATGCCGGCGCCGGCCTGCTGATAAGAGTGAGCGTCTCGTGCGAGGACAGGCCGGAGGTGATGTCGGAGCTCATACGTGTCGTGAGAGGGCAGAGGCTGGAGATTGTGAGGGCCGACATAACAAGCGTCGGAGGGAGAATCAAAAGCGTCCTTATACTGTCCAAAAACGGCGGAATTGGGGGAAGTCAGGGGAAAGTGTGTGTGATGGCGATAAAGCATTCGCTCAACGTCGTACTAAGCAGAATCGCGGCGGCTTCGGTGCCGACGAGCTACCGTATCAGGAGCAAGCGGCAGAGGTTCTTTCAGGCCGCCGAGTGAATTGACATTACGGGTCTCTTCTTCTTTTTTCTCTTCTTTGGAACCTCTTCCGCCGTGAATTGAGGTCCGAGTCAGCAAAATCAAAAGCATGCGCTAGAGAAAGTCGATTACTGTTTCAGTTTTTGTAAACTGGCGAGTGGCTGTCGCTAGCGAGCTACGTGGCTCCCTCTTTGGCATATCTTACCCACGTTAATACGAATTCATTTTCTTCGCATTACCTCCTCCCATAGGCCACCAATGTCCAATTTGAAGGGATGCTAAGGTGGTCATTGATAAAATCAATCAAAGTGATATCAGAGACAATCGGGTGGGTGCTGTTCTAGAGGAGATCTTGCACTATTTTCGCATCCATCCTGGATTCAGGGTTCGATTTGTAGGTCGGAGTAATAATAGGGTAGCCCATCTGGTGGCTCGGAAAGCCCTTTCTTTGTACCCGATCATGAGTCGTGTTTTTAATTATCAGGTCTGGCTGAATTCCAGGATGAAACTCTTTTTTTGAATCAATATATGATTATCTTTTGTAAAAAAAAAGGCTAGAACTAATAATGTACACTTGTAGTCTTGTACACTTTGGACTATCATATTCGAGTTTCATAGTGGCCGGTCTTGAAAAGTATGGACTCGTTTTGGGCCTGCGTTTGTAAAGATAATCAAAGCCCAATCCAGTAAATACCGTTTTCACTTTTCAGGTCGGTCACATAAAAAGTGGTAAAATATTTATACATAGCTCGTAAGCTAACTACAAATTGATCAAGTGATTCTTAACCGATCTAATAATAATAATGTTCGGATGACATCTTAATTACCATTAACAATACAAATGCTGTAATTAATTCCAATGAGCCTTCATCTTTAAAATGTGTTGAAAATTTTGTGGTTAGGTTGGTAAAGCTATTGCTTGGCAGGCAGTTAGTTTGCAGCAATGAATAAATCCATCTCTTCTTGTTCCTCCATACTTTCCGTTTCAGTCAGTTATATACACACACATAAAAGAATTCATTCCATAACTTCCCCGCACACGCGCATGTAACCGAGCCAAAGTCGTTATGTCATCCTCCCCTAGCTAGCGGTTTTACGGTTCACGCCAACAAACCCTCCCCTCCCTTTTCTCCATCCTCAACCGTTATTCTCCTCCCTCCGATCAATATATATATTAACGCACGCAATTCCCCAAACCCATTATTATTCCCCCAAAAAAATTCACCACCATCTCCATTTTCTCCTTCGCCGCCGATGGCCTCCTCCTTCACCGGCAACGCCGCCACCTCGTCGTCGTCGCTGGACCGGGTCAAGGGGTCGTGGAGCCCGCAGGAGGACGCCACCCTGGTCAAGCTGGTCCAGCAGCACGGCCCAAGGAACTGGTCCATGATCAGCACCGGGATCCCCGGCCGGTCGGGGAAATCGTGCCGGCTGCGGTGGTGCAACCAGCTGTCGCCGGAGGTGCAGCACCGGCCGTTCACTCCGTCGGAGGACGCCGTCATCGTCCGGGCCCACGCCGTCCACGGGAACAAGTGGGCCACCATCGCCCGCCTCCTCCCCGGGCGGACCGACAACGCGATCAAGAACCACTGGAACTCCACGCTCCGCCGGAAGCGCGTGGCGGGGACGGGGGAGGAGCTCGCGTCGTCGTCCGCGTCCGAGTCGAACTCGGTGATGAAGCGGCCGTGTCTGCAGGACGCGTTGGCCGAGTCGGAGGGCGAGTCCGGGGTTAATAAGAAGATCTGCTTGCGTCACGATGACGTCAATAATAATAATAATGGTATTATTTATAATATTGATAATAATAATGATAATGATGATAAAAGTAATGAGAATGGTAAGATGGGTGAGGGCGGTGGAGGGGAGATTATTACGGGCGGACCGGAGACTTCGCTGACGCTGTCGCCGCCGGGGGAGGGGGTAGTTAATGCGGCGGGAGAGAAGGAGGAAGAGGCGGCGGCGGCGGTGGGAGGGGACGACGGAGGGAGGCGGCGGGTGAAGAAGGTGGAGGAGGAGGGGAAGTGGTTGAAGACGGCGGAGGTGGGGGAGAGTTGTTTGTTGGGGATCATGCAAAGGATGATAGCGGAGGAAGTTAGGAGTTATGTGGACAGATTAAGAGCGCATGATGGTGGGCTTATTATTGGGCCTGACACTAAGCCCGTGGGTCCTAAGGATGTGTAAGGTCTGAGTTTGTTATTGGACTTTTATCTATTCTTTTTATTTTTTTTACCACGAATTTTATTTTTATAGCTTATTTTCATTAAATTTTTCCCACTCGAGTGTGACACTAGCGGCGAGATTTAATTTAACCTTTTTATCGTAAACTTATCTAAGATGGAAGAACATATAATAAAAATGATAACAACTTAAATTTCAATGTCTCATTCAAAATGAATATCGGTTTTCTAGAAGTTATGTAAAGTAATTAGTAACCACGTTTAATGCCACATTCCCTCTCTATTGGGATGAACCATTCTCGCCCTTGACATCCCATCTTGCTTATGTATAGAGTTTTTTCGGCAAAAGAATATGGAAAGACAACTTTTGAGCATAATATATTTGATGACAGATTTACAGTTACTCCGTTTTCAGTCTCGTGTAACTGAATTATTTTGAAAACTTGCAATATATTAGTCATATGTCTCTTTCAGTCTCGTTATAGTTGTGCATTCTAGAGGTGGAAAATGGGTTAGTGGATCCATGGATATCATATCAAATTTACATCTGAATATTAGACCAATATGAAAACTTAGGTATTAAAATGTCATTATTAAAAATTTCAGGTATGGACACATAGTTCCAATGGCATTTTTCATTAAAACTGAAGTATCATAATGTAAAATATAAAAAATAAGCGGTACTGCTCTAATTTTCTAACAATCCATGAATTCAATCTAAAAATCCAACAATTCAATTGGATTAATTAAGTTTGGAGTGCATAGATTGTATTCAAAATTGTCACCTCGCCTACCATACAAGCAGATAAGGTGTTTTATACTATCCATCTAGGCCACATTCAAAACCAGTTACTATGGATCACTCGAAGGTAACAACCAAATGATTTGCATAGGAATGATGTTATAGCAAATTAGCAATACTCAACCATTAGAAAATCCCACAGGTGGTTCGGATTGAGGATTTGGTTTTGGCTTTTGGGAGATTTATTTAGGTATAAACCCATCACTTAAAAATCAGTTATTTTATATAAATGAATTGAGCTAACATGTATGTTTACATATTTGGGATTTAAGTACAGAGTGTTCAAAGTCGATTTGCCCCTTCTTGTTCTTCGTCTTCGTTGTCACCCTTTCTACCAATCCCAGATGAGCATAGAACGAAAAAACATAGGATTGTCGTTCTCTACAAGCTCAGACCTAAACAATGTCAATGAAATTATCGTAGTCCTCCCATCCCCTAATCGTCGATGAAACAACAAAAACATGCTTCTGAAAACCCTACATTTGTTAATATCCTCAATCGATGTCGTAATCAACCGACTAAAGATGAAATCAATCGAAGAACCCAGAACTCACAAGAAATGCAGTCAACTGAAGAACCAAGAACTCGAAGAACCCCTTGTTGGCGATCCTCGACTTGCTCGCCTATTGTATGTCATCGGAGTCTATTGACTCCCCACACTTAATCGTCTCAAACTAGAGGATGCATCTGCTCATCGCTTTGCCCGACAATGTAAAAGAATCATCCATCGACAAGAGCAACGAAGTGACAAGGGCGGATTACAAGCAGAATTCGTCAACCAAAATCATCCAATTCGATTGAAAATATTATCTCGCTTTCACGATAACTGGGATTTTGCCTCACAAAAAATTCACTGTGATGGCTGATCATTGAGTTCTATGGTCATTTGAATTTGGAGTTGGAATGAGAAAGAGGTTTACCAATCCTCCAATGGTAGAGTGTTACTGAACATAGAATAGAAGTGAAATAGTGAACGCCAAAGGCAAAGTAGCAAATAAATCACAAGAAACTTGAGCCATTCTAAAGGCTCCTAAATACAACAACCCAATTCGGATTATGCCTACAACAATTTAAAACCACTGATATGAATCATGGAGAGTTTAAAAAGTTCCGAAGAACAGAACGTCTCACCAATTTTGTAACACCAATCTCCATCTTTCTACCCTGGACAAAATATCTCAATTCAAGTTAACCATGAATGCAATAGCTAATAAAAAGCTTCACCAATGCAAAGTCAAGATTTCGTTTCATGGGTGACTAAAAATTTGCAGACTTCAAAAAAGGTTCCATCTACACTCCCCAATCACATTACGGGGAACTATTAATAGATATAACTCATTAAACAAAGCAGAATCACATACCAGCCATAGCTAAAACAGAAAAGTGATTCAAGTCTCACAGAAACAATGGCCAAGAATCATACAACAGCAACAAGTCAGCTCAACCAAATGTAACTAAAATGAGATGAAAGACGTATGTACCAGGACAACCAAATACAAACACACATTACTATTGGTTTGTAGGGTACAGTGGAGTACAACTGCACTAGCAAGAAGCTTATCAAAATCCTACAGAATTAAGAATGAGCATGGAATCTATAGAACGCCAGCAGAACTTGCTGAAGAACACACCTCTAAGTTACTACAATGGGTGACATAGTAATCATTAGTCAGCACGGCTATACCTAAGAAATACACAGCATTCATACTACCAACTAAAACAGCAGGAAACACAGAATCTGACACTGTAAACTTAGAGCATTGCCAAAGTTTCATTACCTTAAAGCCACATTTCCGCAACAAGTTACTAAAACATCTAATTACCTTAAAGCTCACATTTCAACAGCCGTAGAATACAACTCAACTTAACCATTAATGGAATCGAATCCCAGAGTAATCTACCACGAATCCAGATAGAGGACAAACATATGGAACATCGGTATACCAAAACAAATTCCAGAAAGACAACGCAATAAATCATACAACTGGATAAGCAGAACAAGCGGCAGAATCCCATACTAATTTCGAACGAGAAACAAAAATTGTATCCAACGGAAATTTCAAATCCATACATCAAACTCGGTACTGGCAACAGAGTTTTTTCAAGTCTCGCAAAACAGGGAAAGGGGGAAAAAACGAAATGCAAAAATCCACCTAGATCGATACGCTACGCTCCACTTCGTTTATTGAAAGGAAGCAGACTACTTGGATCTCTGTCTCATCTTTCGGCGCTTCCTCTTCAACCTCCTCATACGCTTCTTCTTCCACTGGAAAAAGCACCACCCAATAAAGAGAGAAACAAAAAGGATTAAATCAGCAACGAATAGGAAGAATCGACCATGTACTCCTTGAAATGTTGGTTGCGTTCGAGAGTGGAAGCTTACCTTGGCTCTCATGGTGATGAAGCACGCTAGGTTTCTCTCTGGTTCTCTTCTTCGCTTTGCTTCCGCCGGAACAAACCCTTGTTTGAAGGAGACTGACGGAGGATAAGGTAGAGTAGGGGTTCCCTGCCTTTATATACCGCTAGAAGTGAAACCCTAGTCTTGCTGGGCTGTGGCTGTGGGCTAACAAATGGAGAAGGCCAACAGGTGGGCCAAGGACCAATGGGCTCAAGATGAACAGAACAGCCTATATTAAAATCGTTGGGTATCTGGCCCAGCTCTTGTTTGTCTGTCTTGCCGGACTGTGGGCTGAGGGTAGGCTGAGTCGTAATGCGCTTTTGTTCGTATGGACTTTGCGCATGTACAATTACATATTCTAGTTTAACTTAAAAATCTTGATAAAAAAATGAAACTCTATCCTCTTTTTTGTTTTCATTGCCCCGAAAACGTTGCTTTCTTGTTTTAACCATTTTCCCAGCCTAGTGATTGATCATTGAACAGATTACGTATTTTGCTCCCATTTGCAAGCTGTCGTCTTGCTTTGGGTTAGGGGTGAACAAACACACCCGCAAACCGACCCACCCGTCCAACCCGACCCAACCCACCCGTATTTATCGCTAAATCGAAGGTTTTGGGTTAGGTGAGGGTTTTCTTTTGTACAACCCGCCTCTTTTGGGTTGGGTTTGGATTTTGGATTACACAACCCGTAGAACCCGACCCAACCCGTGTTCCAATTATTGGTATGAGTTCGTATCCAAAAAAATATTTATGACGTATATAGTCATACTTATGAGAAAATTAAGATATTTCGCCATGTTTTTCTCTTAAAGTCTCACTAATCTAATGCATTCTTCGACTTAAAGTTTAGACATATATTTAATATAGCTATGATTCACGTAATTTTTTTTTTCTTGTGTACGATTTTAAAAGAATATCATATTATGGATGCGTTCATTTGTAACCTTTTTAGCCTATTTCAACAAATATCGTGAAAAAAACTAGACATAAGTTGAAGTAAATCAAGTTTTATTAAAATTAAAACAATATTTGTGAATTTTGATATTTTTCACCTCAGTTTATTCCTTTGAATTTTTAATTTCTTATAAAATATTTTTATGATGTAGAATAATTACATATTTTGTGTTGGGTTGGGTTTTTACTTAAAAATATCGCCAACCCGACCCAACCCAATTAGAAACAAACCGTAGGGTTTAGATTTTTTTGGGTGGGTTTGGGTTTAATATTTCCCAAACCGTAATGCATGGGTCGGGTGATTAAAATGCCTAAACCCGAACCACCCGACCCATGTACACCCCTACTTTGGGTAACTTGAAATAATTTTTTCCGACAGTGGCTGCTCATTCAACGATATAGTTAGGGATGGAAATCGGTACGGTAGTGGTATATCAATACCAAAAACCGAAATTTCAAATATTGAACTACGCTCTAAAGTCAATTCAAATCTCAATTCCTAAATAATTTCGGTATCCTAATCCCAATCCCTAAATATTTCGGTATCTCAATCGGTACTTCGGTATCCCAATCGGTATTATTGAATACGAAATTAATTACCTTTACAATTAATAATTAAATATATAAATTAGATTTTATTGTTTAATTTAGGGGAAAAGGACTAAACAAAGAGTCTTGGATTAGGAAATTATTAAGGATAAAAAAGAGGAGGGGAGACATCTCAAGTTCTTGTCATTGGTAATCTTTAATTTGACGAATTGGAAGTTGATAGACGACTATTAATAGTGATGTAATGATCTATGTATAATTAAATAATACTCTTGGTGGTTGAGTGTCATGTAGTAGTGAATGAGAGAGTATAGTTGAGAAGAGAAAATACACACTAGCTTATATTTTGGTATTGATCGTTATTTCGGTATATACCGATTCCAATCTCGTAATCCCTAATACCAAATAACAATTGAAATTCAATCCCAATCCCAAGAAATAATACGTGTATTCGACAATACCCAATATAGACAAATTCAATAAAGTATTCGGTATATTCCAAATACCGGTACCAAACTTCCAACCTTACACATAGTATTTGAGTGGAAAATCCTGTAAGCATCAAGTTTGCAAGTCTTATCCAAAACTTTTTGTACCTTCTACACTCTGTCGTTTTCCAAATCCACCAATCTTGACAACCCATAACTCAGTTCACCACGAAATCTCACTGTTCTATCCTTCTTCCACACCTTCTAGTTCCCCTCGCCCTCCACTTTTGCAAGCTGTGACTGTGAGCTCTTCGTTGCGTTTCAGTAAGCTCAACTGTTCAGCCCACTCCCACCTTCACAAAACTACAAAAAATGACATCTTTCCTTTCTCAACTTGGTATATATAAAAGGCCTCCCGAAGTCGGTGAGAAACACAAGCAAGCCATCACAAGAAAAAGAAAAACAGAGCAAGTCCAAAAAACAGAGCAAGTCCAAAAAAAACAGGGGAAGCCAGAAAACAGAGGAGAAGGAGATGGGTCGCTTGGTAAAAATGTCTGCAGTATTCTTCATCGTCGTCTTCGTGTCAATCCACGTCAATAACGCTGACGACGACGACGACGACGACAGCATGTCTCCGGCGGAATCCCCAACTCCGTCGATTAAGGTGGCCCCGGCGGCGGGTGTCACGTGCAACAAGACCAATTACACGACCGTGTACCCGACCGACAGTTACGTGAGGCACGTGCTGAAAGAGCTCGGCGACGAGGTCATCAAAACCAAAGGTTACTCAAAGGTCATCAATTTCCCAGAAATAGACACCCCGGTTATGTCCGGCAAAGGCGCCTGCACGAAGAATGTGTCCAAGGCGACTTGCGCCAAGTGTCTCAAGGACGGTGCGAAGAAAGTCCTCGACGCCTGTCCTCGGCGGGTGGGAGCTCGGTTCAATGCCACGGCGTGTCAACTAAGGTACGACGTTTATTAGGGTTTGTTATGATGAGATGAATCGACCGAATTGGATCATCGGCGGCGGCGATTCAGCGCGAAGTTGTGGACAGTGTTCCCGAATAAAGGTGCTGAAAAGGAGAGGAATTTGTTCATGAGATTTTGAGTTATTATAGATTTTATAGGCTGAGAGGATGGTGGTTTGGTTGTCGACGGTTTCGTATGAGAAACCTTTTTCTATGGTGTCTGTCTCTGTTTTTTTTACTTCTCTGGCCTCCCCATTTTGGGGTGTTGATCGAATAGATTGATGTGGTAGCTTGTAGCTAACATGAGTAAAATGAAATAATACTCTTTTAAGTTTCTGTCTTTCTGATAAAAACAACTCAATTAGTATGTTGTTCCATTGCTCTAGCAAAACGGTTTAGGATCTAGAATCGTTGAAGGTTTCAAATTATTGTCAACAATGCTAAGTTTGGCGTTTGGACCCTCAATTGCGATGATTTTATCAAATGAGTCTCCAACATCTTCGATTTTCTCCCGACACTTTGTGTTAGAGCTTATTGTATTAAGATTTGTTAGTTGGCTTAGTTTCGTTGTAACTATTTTTCGATCATCGACAGATAACTATAACTTTTTAGAACTCATCGATCAACTCGAGGATGTGCTTCCATATAGAGGTCATGAAAGTTTGATATTATAGTTGTAGAGGTGACAAACGAATTGGATTCATGGATTTGACCAAATAAATTGGTGGATTCATGGATTGTATTAAATGAATCCAAGTGACATCTAAACATAAGACAAATATATAAATTTGGAAAAGTTTAGATATTGACATGTCATAATAAAATATTTGTATACCAAAATGTAATAATCCCAGGAATGCTTTGTTAAAAAAATGAATTTCATGACCCAAATTGTAAAACATACAAAATTTAGGCAGTAAAATGTACTTTGACAACAATCCATCAATCTATTTAGTTTTTGGATCTAATGAATTGGATTTAAGTAGATTGGATTAGTTGGATATTAAGATGAACATATTGAATTGGATACAAGATTGTCTACTCGTATATTCCAACATCTTATTGGGTATTGGTATTTGCAGCACAAAGAAAATTTACACCATGATTCAATTTTGTTGAAAAGGCACCAGATCAATTTGAGGAGCAGAGTTGTATTAAAAATGTATTGCATTATCATAATCTACGCAATGACATCCAATTTGATATATTTTAAAGTGTAAAATTTGATTTTATAACGACTTGAATAAATAATAATATACGTGAATAAATATTAAATTACGTGACTAAACAATATTGTTTGCGTGAATAATTTACTATTTTGCGTGAATAAGCTGGTTTAAGAATTTTATTGCCGCCCGGCCGTGGCGCCGGCCGTCAATCGGATAGCATTGCCGCCCCATTTAAGAATATCACAAAACTAGCGTGCGACCCGGCCATTTGGCCGGACGAAGATGAGGTATGAAATTTGATAATGTAATGGGGTGTATAGCTTATTGTTGTATAGTTTTTTTTTGGGAAACACGTGATAAAAATAGTGAATTTTAGTAGAAAAGAGACATGAATGATGCAACGAATAAAAAATCAGTCTTATGAACCAAAATCAAGTACATGTTACCTTGTGAAACAATATTGTTTCTGGTAATATGATGAGGTGGAGTAAGTTTTATAGAAACCGAATTCCAGAAAATCGAATAAAAAATTGCATATCCCGCCGATTTTCGGGAAATGAGCATCTCACAATCGTTGCTAGCTTTTACTCGGCCCGTTGGCCAATTAATTTGCTTTATAAAACTTTCATCTTCTCATCATTGTGCTTTCTGGTTTTTTGCCAAGCCATGATAAAATCTAAAGAAATCAAGAATGAACAGCACGATTTGGGATAGGAACCACCGTTCCTGTATCCCTAGAAAATGGTGGTAAACACGGACTCACCTGCCAAACTGGTTTGGATTGAGATTTTTATAGGGTATCAGAGAACCATGTGATTATAAATTAGACTTGATCAAAATGGGCCAAAACTTGAAATTCAGCTTGTTTGACCGACCCATGCCAAACTCTAATTATTCTTTACTTTTAAACTTTATATTTGAAATAAAAAATAATGAAAGAAAAGAGATGACTGCAATTCACCATCTGCACATCAATGATTCAGGAATAAAACTATAGAATTTCGAAAGGAAACTGAAAATGTTTAGGATCGTTTTAATGTTAAAAATAACCAAATAGATCTTTCTGTTTAGTTTTTTACTAACAAATACCAATCAATTCCCTATAATATACACTATAATTTAATCATTATGATATCAAATAATTACATAATATATATTTGAAATGATAAAAATTGGACTAATTGAATTGGTCGAAGTTGAACCATTGAATAACTTTAAAATACATTATATTTTAGCCACTAAGATATAAAATAATAGCATAGCATATATTATGCTAGAGAAAATAGCTTGTTTTAGAATGGCAAACCCATGATGTTCATTTGTTTTATTTGATGGGCAAATCCCATGTAGGTCAGACCCGTTCAACTCTTTTATTTTATGATTAGCGGTTAGCCCATTAGAATCCATGCATTAATTTATTGTTAATTTTTTTTCTTTTTAGCAATAAAAAGGAGTATTGGTTTTGCCTTTTCATATATATATTTTACCACCATGGAGAAATAAAAGGACTTAAAGAAAAAAATTGACACTCTTGGACCCGTTTAAATCCGCATGTGTACGGTAAGTTGGCCCGTTCCACAGAGGAAAAAGAAAAAAATTGACACTCCCTATTCTACTCTTCCTACAAACGCTCCTGGAGCAGGGAATTTTAAATGGGGGAAGAGTTTTTTCCTCTCTGCAATTATATGTTTTTAATTTAAAAAGATACAACAAATGTACTTAGTGTGATTGGTTATGATCTTTGTTTTTCTTTAAAATGGTAATGGTTCGAATCCTGTCCTTCCTACTTTCACTCTGGATGCAGGAAATTTGAAATGGGGCTTCAAGGATCGATCGATCCCCTATATACATACATCATCATTTTCCCTAGCAAAAAGCAGAGTCTTAGAAAGTCTCACTTAAACAAAGAAAAAACACTAATAAACTAAACAACTTTGAACTGTTTAAACCTTGCATTGAACACGTGATCAAATAAATAATCCCGTTCCATTTTGTAGGTTATCTTCTCCGGCCACTTACTGTTTGTTTTCCAGCTATATATTGTCTTGCAGTACCTACATGATCTCTATGGCCTTACGCTCTCGTCTGGATCGTTCCTGGCCCTTGGGAAATGACAATTGACATGTGCTTCCCGCATAGTATATATATGTAAGCTTATCACATCATAATTATTTGTAGAAGAAGAAGAAAGAAGAAGAAGAATGTCAATTGTCACGGGACTAATCGTCGTCTCGTCGATAGTGATGATGATCGGTGTGGGCGCCTTCGAAGATGATTTCCTGTACAGTTGGAACTTGACCAGCTTCGACCCAAAAAAAGATACCGCTTTGAACAACTGCCTGAATGCTTTCAAAACTCATCTTGAGGTTGATGTCTATGTGTTAGAAACAAAGTTTCTAACAGTTGTAGAATTTGGGAAAATAGCTAGACCAACTAGGGATTGATCAAGCTAGGGATTAGAATTAGGGATTTTAGGAAGAAGAGAGGGGAAGGTTGGCTGCCGATCGGCCAAGGAAAGAGGGAGAGAGAGAGAGAGTTCGGCGCTAGAGAGAGAGAGAGAGAGATTAGGATTTAGGTTTTCTGTAATTGATTGCTTAATGACAAAATAACTCCCTACTGCAGATTATATAATCCGCAAAATACCTAACTGCTACCCATATAATGAAAATACCCCAAATGATCCCCCAATTATCAAAACCGACAATAATACGAAATAATGAAAAGCTGTAAATTGTTTGTTTCTAACATCCCCGCCTCCTTGGGAAGCAACCTTGTCCTCAAGGTTGCGGCTTCTCTTGCTCTGCTCCGGGTTCCTCCGCCATCTCATCCTCCGCCTCGTCCTCCCATCGTCCCACCAAGAACATCAAGTCAGGCTTCCCGCACTTGTGACCAAAGGTAAGCCGCTCGTCACAGTTGAAACACTTCCCTTCTCGCCTCTTCTGCTCGATCTCTGCGGGAGATAGCGTCCTAAATCCCTTGGGTGGTGGCCTCGGTCCCGTTCGAATGACAGTCGAAGGTGGGCCAGCCGCCGCACCCCCTCCCGAACTAGGGCCCGATGTAGCTGCACTCGCTCCTCCACTCGCGCTGCTACCACTGCCTCCTCCTCCGGCCGGCTTCTGGTAGCGCCCGATCACGCCCCGCCAGCTAGCCAGCTCCTCTTCCTTGTTACCTGCAAGACGGAAAACAGCTCGAAGTGAATCGGGCTCAAATACCCGAACAGCCGCTGCAATCTCTGGGCGGAGTCCCGCCATGCACAGACCCACCAATGTCTCCTCTGGTACGCCCTTGCACTGGTTACCCAGTTTGAAGAACTCAGCTCGATACTCCGCCACTGTCCCAGTCTGGCGCAGCTTCGCCAACTGCTCCGGTTTCCACCCTTCCGACTTGCCGAACTGATACCTCAACTCCTCCTTGAACATCGGCCAAGTAATCAGCGTCCGAGCTTCAGCATAGGTCCGCTCCATCCATTCCCACCACTGCAATGCATCCCCCTCTAAATAGAAGGACGCCAACTGAGCCTTTCGTTCCTCTCTAGTGGGATGGTTCTTGAACCACCGTTCTGCGGAGTATATCCACAGACCTGCATCCTCCCTGCCATTGAATTTTGGAAACTCAATGGTAGGAGGCTTAGCTCGGAACACCATGTCATCTTCTGCCTCACCCCCGCGGTAATAATCGGCGTGCCTCCCATATCCCGGTGCCTCACTATGATAATACTGCGGGAATCGAGGTCCCCCTTCATACTCCCACTCACCTTCCTCCTCCTCCTGATGTCCCCTTCCTCGGCCCATCTCATTTCTCTGCCTCTAATCACCTGTTCCTGATCCCATGAATTCCCTACCAGT